TTGTGGATGATGAATGCATTGTGAACGATTTATCTTTGCACAGCAGGTATACATCAATCAGTGTTTCTATAAATTGCGCCCTCTAGTGACATAAATGGGTTTAAGATGTCATTAACTGCATAGATATTGTTTTGATCTGTAGTCCCCTGTCATACAAATGTTTTTTAGGGAGATTTATTGGAATTGTCAACATTTTTATTCTCACATTTACTGTGTTTGGTTTATTTTACTTCTTGATTAGTATTGTATATTTTGCGAGCGCCCTGTTTTATTCATGGACATCAAAAGTCCATTTTCTTCATATTTAATGCAAAACATGATATAGCCCAGGGATTATGTAGGAGTTTTCAAGTAGTGAATCTTTATGATATTATGGAACTAAACAGACACAGTATCCTTAGGACGAAGGTACGTCACAGAACGTCCTATTTTGCTAAGGCGTGCACCTCTGTACCATGTATTTTTATGGGCTCTGTGCAAGCTGCTGTGAAACGCCGATCAAAGAGAAAAAGATGAAGTTAAGAAAACAGCATAAACGCAACTTTGAATTTATGTTGCACATCCAAGGGTAATCTTTTTACACTATTCAGGGGAGTTTCAACAATTATCCCAAAGTACAGTTTTCTGGGTGTTTTCGGCCTTTGATTTCACCGTCATGGTTGCCAGGTGGTGAAAATACGTGGTTAATTATGATCAGACCTGGTTTCTATTTGCTCCTGTAGTTTAGGAGGTAGATTTAATTCAGCACTTTGGCATTGCTAGGACTTTGATTGACTACCTTCTGATTGTCATACCATGATACACTTGGTTGACTCAGGTGTGAAAAGTTGTCTGTTGTATTTCATTTGAATTTTTCAAGGTGTTTTTGGTTTTAATTTGTAAATACTAAAGTTTTGAATAATTTTTCTTTCAGTTAATTCCCAACTCATGTGCAACACATGCACTCCTCAGTGTGTTATTAAATTGTTCAAGTTTAAATTTAGGAGCGACCCTCACAGAGTTCAAAGAGTTCACGAAGAATTTTAACCCTGAGGTAAGGTTGGTGTATATGCATTGCCTGCATTCATAAGGGTTTATATGGATTCATAGTGTTGATAAATGTCAGTGATGATCGTGCCATCTCAATTATTCTGATTATCAGCATGTGGCTGAATTGGATGACATCCAAGTGCACAGGGGCCATCTGAGACAATCCTAGCATAGCTTTAGTTTATGTTTATGCTTATGTTTATGCTTATGTTTATAGCTTAGTTTATGTGATTGCATCATAGTCGAACGTAGCATTAACAATATACTGTAAAAGACTTTTTTTCGCTAGGAATTTATTTTTGCTGAAGGAGTTATTCAGTGAAAATAATATCCAGCGAATATACCATTTTCCTTTATTTTACATTCAACTTGTCAAAAATCAGTGAAATTAAATTTCATACAAAACACGTATCTAAAAATTTTACAGTAAGTGAAACAAGAAGCCGCAAGGTTTAATGACTGTTTATTGTTGGATTATATTTTACAGAACAAAGGGTATGCTATTGGTAGCATGCCACAGTTAGCAAAGGCTCATAACAGCCATGCTAAACCAGAGCCAAGGCAGATACCAGAGAAGCAGACTGGTGTGTCTACAGTTAGAACGATGGAAGCTTTTCATTTTGTGAGTTATGTACCTATCAAAGGAAGATTGTTTGAATTGGATGGTTTAAAACCATATCCTATAGACCATGGTGAGTTGCAGTGTATATTGGGTTGAGTTTGCACTGATTGCCTGGATTGAGGACAGCAATACCTGATATTTTTTTGTAGACAAGTTTCATGTTCTTCGCTGCGTTTGAACTGTATGAAATGATTTTTTGGGGAAAAAGATTGCAAAAATAATATAATCATTATGTCTTCTATTTTGTATTTTGCTGATAACAATTATTGGCATTATTTACATTTATTGTTTGCTATTTTTAGTACTAATCTCTCTAATGCATTTCAAAGGGCATCAAGGCAACATATCTTAATTGCAAATCAAGATCTCATTGGGACTTATTTTTGCCCGCCTCAAGAAAAACAGTGCAATTACAAATAAGATATACCGTTAAAATCCTATTATAAACCGCGGTTTATATGACAATGTATAAAATAAAAAATTGGGATCAACAGCTCAAGTTTGGGGTGCGGTTTATATTAGGTACATATTGCAATCACTAAATGGGCATGGTCATTTTTTTCCCACATCACTTGCACAAAACAAACAATACACGGTACAATCTTTTGAATATAAGCTTACTCCAATTTAGATGTCAGGGAAGAGTGATAAGCATCATGTCACAAAAAAACTGTTCACATGAAAAAAAAATACTCTGTATATTTAATGTAATATGCATTTATTTTTTTAATTTTCTTCATAACGGAAAGTATATTTTGACAGGAGTTTCAAATAAAAGCAAACATTAATGCATTGCTTAGTAGAAAATGATCATGGTACAGCACTAAAAAAGTATGGTACCGTGGGTACGGTAACGCAATCCGGCCATGCTTCGGCTCACAAGTGAATAACTTACTTGTTTTCGAACTGTTGAAATTGTTGATTATTACTCCGTAGTGATTATAACAACGCACGAAAAATAAATTCTTTGAATTGTTATCAAATGCAAGTAAAATTCAACTTAGTTTCACCGTAAGCGAATTATTTCGGTCACATGTAAATGATCGAAGCGATACGACTTCCTCTATGTAGTTTGAATGCACACGAGACATTATTTGACCGGGTAGGTCAAGTCGCTAATTAACCAATCAAAATGCTGGATGGTGCCACGTGTTCAAATTACCTTAGTTCATTTAAATATGTTAATGACAGGTCACCGACTTCATGGTGAAAGAAACCCGGAAGCTTTTTACCGATAATGTAGTGCGATCTTTTGGCTTTGATTTCCATGGGAAAACGACATGACTTTTTTTTTAAATCAAGAAATTAGTTGTTTTCGAAAGATAAACTGAGCATTGAAAAAGAATTTAACAGTTTTTCGGTGAGAACAGCTCATTGTCGAAAACTTGCGACGTATTCATAAGGAGTATTGACAAAAGTTGTCACAAGACAAAAGCAGTTTCACTGCGTGTTTGACATCCTAACACTACTGAACAATAAAGAGGTGTGAATAATTTTAGGCACGTTGTCAAAACAAATGAATAGGACTAGAAACAATGTACCAGCTGGTTGAAACAAAGTCGGTCACGGACATGTTGAATTGGGGGTGCGGTTAGTAATAGATACTTTTCATGTTTTCAATTTTTGTTGAGAACTCTTTAACACTGAAGCCGAAATCGGGGGGTGCCGTTACTATTAGGTATGCGGTTTATAATAGGATTTTAACGGTAGTCTTTGATGCCTCCATAAGGTTCAAGCTTCTTCCTGTCTACTCTTTTCAGAGTGAAAAAGTTCCAAAGTAGTACATGTTTGTATTTGACAAAGAATAATCTCTGTCACTGTCCTCCTCCATTTTGTTTCTAGAGATGATAAAAAGTTGGTTTTGTGAAAAATGTTGTTGTGCAGTAATGAGAGATACACAAGCCTGATATCATGTGATCCTATATTGACCAATCAAAGCAACTGACTATGAGGGATGTATCTGTCAAACCGTTTCTGTTTTTCATTAGGACCATGGGGAGAACAAGAAGAGTGGACTGATAAATTCAGAAGGGTTATTAGAGAGAGACTGGACATGGGAGGGTATGTTAATAGGGTTGTTGCAGCATTCCTACTTATCTTGTCTAAGCGTTGCCATTTTAAAGCGTTAGAAAGGTCTAAAATAGGAGTAATTTTTGGTTTTTGTAGTGCATTAATTGTTTATTTCAGACCATAGATGTCAGTCAAGTCAGGCATTAAATTTGATTTGAAATGAATAATCTGATTGCTTCATTTCTCGGAGAAGTACCGTTTTCTTTTTGTTTGTTGCCAAAATAATCTCACAGGTTTGAAATTCATAAACTTGGTTTTCAAGAAATACATAAAAAGATCTGAAATTTAGTGAATTGGCCACTGTAGAATTTCTCAGTGGTTTAATGCATTTCGAGAATTTTGTATTAGTGGCAGAGGAACTGTTTTCTTTGGGAATCTGATTGCAGATGCCACTTTCATTGAATGTACATGTACTCAAACATGGTGGATTCAAATCTTTTCTCCAAATTACCATTCTTACAATTTATCATTTCCATGTGCATGAAAAGTTGACTGGTGAAAGCCACCTAAAATTTCAGCCTCTTATTATGGGTATTTACCTGTTAAGCTGAAAACAAATTGACTGACTTTAAGCAGGCACATTTCTTTCCTCTATAAAGAAAACAGAAACATTTGTAGATATGAAATTTATCATGTACCATAGATAAGTCTGTAACTTGACTGATCAAACTTGCATGTGTATGTGTTCTTAGTTTAGACTCTGAACACAAACTCATATGACGTAATATACAGCTGTTAAGTCGATGATGATCGTGCCTATATCATTCTGATTACCAATGTGTGGTAGACGTGAATGACATCACAGTGCACAGGGGCCATCTGAGACATCTGCCAACATTGCGTAATACTTGTAGCAATCAGCAACTTTCTTAGATTCAATGTGATACACCAATAATTAATTAATGATCAATTCCTGGAACTCGATATTAGGTAATTTTTCAGTGTCTTGTCTGTGATATAGCACTTGCACATTGTATGTATATATAGTAAATTTTAAACACATTATATGGTCAAATCTGACCTTTTATGTAAATACCATCTGTTTGTAGTGACCACCTTTTGGCATTCTTAATGTCAATGCTATTTACACGTACACCTGTGTAATGATGATCAATGACTGTCATTTTGTCATACGTTTAGTCTCATAAACCTGTCTATAAAGGCAAAAAAGATGGAAGATGATGACGACATGTTTATAATGAAGTGTTTTACATTGATTTCTAAACTGTCACTCTCATTTTCTCTTTTTTTCAGCTCTGTTGTCTTCAGATTTGTTTATTTCGTGACGACATCTTCAGTTCTGTATTTTTAGCAAATATTTTGGTGAAAAATGCTTTTTTCGACTTCTTCTTGAGAACTACCAGCCTAGTTGCTTATATACTTGATATCAGATTGAGCTGGCAATTTTCAAAAAGAAGTCATATGGGTGAGCGTTGCTTGACTTGTGGGACAGTGCAGCTATTTTGGCCGTCAGGTTGCTCGTTTCACCTTGGGTGGTCGCTATACACAGGTTTGACTGTATACTGTGAAATACTTTATTTTAGCTAGAATAAATTTTGGCTGAGAAAGCTTTTTAGGTGTTTTGCATGGAATTTATTTCCACTGATTTTTGATGAGTTGAATGTGATAAAAAAGTATATTCGCTGAATTTTATTTTCACTGAAGCATCCCTTCAGCGAAAATAGCGGAAATAAAGTATTCTACAGTAGTCTGTTGATATTGAAGCATGCAGGCATGTATCAGATCACTAATAATTTCCGACATATTGTCTGATTGATCTTTGTAGATGTGATATCAGGTTTAATCTTATGGCAGTGGTCCCTGATAGAAGACAAGTTTATGATCAAAAACTGCAACTATTGAAAAACAACAGAATGGTGTTGTATGAAGCCTTACAGCATGTAAGTTACAATTCTTTTAGTTACACCTTTGCTAGTGATGCCTACCATGGAAAAAATCCATTCAGTGTTTTTGCGTAGGTGAGTGACAGCATAAATATCTCCTTACTGCCGTGTTTATATAGTGTGTCTAAAATAGCTGACAAACTATAGCAATTTGGCACAGTGGCAGTTATTTTGCCAACTGTCCACTGCATTGTAAACCATCTATAAAATTGATATCATATTATTTTAGAAATGCTGTGTTTTTGCACTTACCCTGTCTGTATGTGTGTATGTGTGTTTGTGTGTCTGTCTATTCCACTGATATTTCAAGAACCAGACTTTTGTTTTTGATGAAAATTGGTGAATAGATGCTCTGGGCCAATGCGCAGATTTGATTAGGTTTTGGTAGAAATCCATGCATATTAATCACCTAATTTGCATGATAATTAGCTCATTTTTAGCTGTTCCATTGCTGTTCCACTGATATCTAAAGAACCACTCATTGGATTTTGATTAAACTTGGTTCATAGATGCTCTGAATTAATGCCAGGTGGGTGAAAATCTGTGCATATTAATTACCTAATTTGCATAATGATTAGTAAATTTTCGGCTTTTTCACTGATATCTCAACTACTAATCATCACATTTCAATGAAACTTGGTACCTAGATGCCATAGAACACTGCACAGACCTGATAGTTTTTAGGGTAATATCAGTACATATTAATTACCTAATTTGCATAATAAAATAATTTTCAGCTTATGATATTTCAAGTAGTAAGCATTACATTTCAATGAAACATGGTACATAGATACTCAAGGACTATGCAGAGATCGATTGTTTTGGAATGAATATTTGTGCATATTAATCACCTAATTTGCATAATTAGTTAATTTTTGAATTTTCACGTATATCTCAAGTACTAATCACATTTCAATGAAACTTGGTACATAGATCCTGTAGGACTATGCAGAGATCTGATTAGTTTTGGGGTAAATAATTGTGCATATTAATTAACTTATTTGCATAATTATTTAATTTTCAGCTTTTTCACTGATATCTCGAGTACTAATCATCACCTTGAAATGAATCTAAACTATGCAGAGAGCCAGTTAGTTGTTGGTATATATTTATGCATATTAGTCACATAATTTGCATAATTAATACATTTTCAACTTTCACACTGATATCTCATGTACTAATCATCACATTTCAATGAAACTTTTACATAGATGCTCTAGGACAATGTACAAATATGATCAGTTTTGGGTTAAAATCTGTTCATATAAATTCCCTAATTAGCATAATAATTCATAATTGTTTGGTTCTGATTACATTTCAATGAAACTTGGTACATAGATGGTCTGTTACATTGTGCAGACCTTATTAGTTTTACACTCTGTTCCTTTTAATTTTCTGATTTGCATAATTAGTTTTCACATTTTCCATCAATATCTCAAGTACAAGTAATTTTGAATTAATTTTTACTGTGTCTCCAATACTCTCAGCACACAGGAGTTTTTTCTAAGTTTTCTTTGATCTCAAATTGTTGTATACTGAATCATAAAACATGAAAACATAAACAGGGCTGGTAAATTTTTAGCAGGGCGGGCAAGTTTTCAAAGTTACCTGCCCTGTTGTCTGGTAAACCATTTTGACAAATTTCAAACACTGTAAATATGTGTGCTACTAGTGGAGCAAATACAGTATCTAAGTACTGAGGATTATACATAGAAGATGCTGTGGCTAACGTGTTTGTATGGCACTAATATATTAGCATTCTCAGTTTGTGATTGTGCTTGTTATCAGTGAACAAAAGAAAAAAAATCCTATTCTTGTGAAGTGTTTATATTAAGTATACTTTCAGCTTGTGAAGTACACTCAGCCCTCACTGCCAGTTTCTAGAACCACAGTTACTAGAAGAGATCCTATCATAACAAGGTCCAAACCATCACCTAAAGTAATAACAAAACCTCCTCCTCCCGTTACGAAGAAAGAACCAAAAAACAACGGATCAAAGTCTGGAAATAACAAGAATTCTTCTTCTAAAAGTAATTCATCTACCTACAGGTATTTAACTTATCTTATGAGATTTGATAGAATGCAAATTAGTAATTGGCGATTTTCTGTTCACTACAAGCTCTCGCGTAATGTGTAAAAGGCGCGGGCCAAACATCTGCTGCAAAAATCAAATGATTTAATTCTGGAATTTATTTCTTTTTTTAGCTCCGCTGTCGACTTTGTTGAGCTGAGCTTATCATATGAGTGATTATCCGCCGTCGTCCGTGTCAATGTTTTACTTTTTCAACTTCTTCTTGAAAACTACAGGCCTGAATGCTTTGATACTTGGTGCATATGTACCTTAGGTAGACCTCTCTCAGATTTGTTCATTTCATGATCATATCTTCAATTCTCTTATTTTGGTGAATATTTTTGTCATTTTTGGTAAAAAGTGATATTTTCAACTTCTTGTTAAAAACCGCATATCCAATTGCTTTGATATTACATATATAGATACCACATGTGGACCACTCTCAAATTTGTTCATTTCATGAAGATATCTTCAATTATCTAATTTTGATGAATATTTGTATAATTTATGGTAAAAAGTGATATTTTCGACTTCTTGTTAAAAACCACAATCATTTATGGTGAAAAATGATATTTTTGAATTCTTGTTGAAAACAGCAAGTCCCATTGCATTGATACTATGCATATTATTCATTTTCTAATGATATCTTCTGTTCTTTAATTGAAATGTGCATTGCTAACAGCAGAGCTATCTCAGCCGAGAGGCTGCTTGTTCATTGTTAAATGTCAAAATGCAGAGCTTTTTAGAGAGGAGTATGACATTGACATACACTTACTTGACCTTCATCAAATCTGTATAGCACATTATCAAGCATGGAATACCCCCAAATACTTTCATGTTTGTTGAATCCTGCTACAAGCTATGCTGCTACGATGCTATGACCTTTGTTTATACTGTTTTTACGTTCAATTTCAAGCATAAATGTAGAATAGAAAATGGTCTATTCTTGAGACTAAAGTATATGTCAGTTTCTTCATGTTTTCATCGGGTTAATGTCATCAGGATACAGAAAATTACTTACTGGAAATTTTTTTATGAAACAAGTCTACAAATATCTTGGAAAAAGGATGGTTTGTTTTTGCAGTTTGTATGATTGACAAAAGTTACCTGTGATTGCAGTCTTGTTAGAAGCCAGTAATAGAATGTGCCATATGCATGGTTTTGATGTCGCTCACTTGGTTCATGACCTTAAAACCCTGTATAGGTCACTTGTCAGCAATATAAATTAAGGTATAAAACAAGTAGGTAAATGGGTACAGGTCATATCAAATTTTGATTTTATATTGAGAAGACCGTATTTCAATGGTCAAACAGAAAGTTCCTGCATGCGATTCAATGGACTTGATGACACCCAAAGCTGCTGAAAACTCGAGCACATTCAAAATTTAATGTGGAGCTATTTGCAAACAAATTCTGACCTTGATACCAAACATTTGGTAGCGCGTACTATTTCATATGTTGAAGACAAATCCCATAATACAGCTTTAATGAAAACCTTACAGGGAAGCTGTATTAAACAAAGTGACACTCGTTTTATTATTGCATAATATTCAGGCAATTAAATAACAGCATTGCATTCACTCATTATCTCTATCTTTTATATTTAATTATTAAAAAGGAAAGATTAATAAATAATAAATTCTTGATATTTTGCTGAGTGACTATCCATCAAATAAATGACAAAGAACAAAATAAAAAGGGAGGTAGGTAGCACACAGAAACATTGACCTCGTAATTTTCCTATAGTGTTACACCCTTCTCTGGCAGCCATTTTGAACATTGAATTGAACATTGGTTAAAATATCTAGGGAACTAATGTTAATTATTCAAACTTGTTTGGGTAATTTTAAGCTCAGGGAATAACGTATCAACATTTTACTGTCAATGTAACAATGTAATCTGCGTATGTCCTTTAAAAGATCAGTTCTTTGTAAAACCCTTGCACGTTGTATGAAATGTATCCTTCAATGATAAATAACAGGTATATCCTGTAAGGTCAAGTACTTTGTAGTCTAGTTTCTAATATGCATGGTTATCATTCTTATTGCTTTCACAGATTACCTGCAGCATTAGATACTCACAACTATGCTAAATCACCATTGTCCGAACACGAAGACAGCTCGGGAGGAAGTTCTAGTTACGAAGAGGCAGATGAAGATGAAGAAGATGAGGAGGAAGAAGATAGCGAGACGGAAACTGATGAGGAAGTGGCAGAATGTCAACAGTCATCAGAAAATGAAATAATTCCGGAACCACCTCAGCCCAAACCGCTGTCTAATACGGAGATTGAAAGGCATTTACATCGATCCGAGGTGGCCAGTAATACTTATATTCGGATTAGCTTGGATCCATCTACTACAGAAATTCTTGCATCAGAGTCGGTTAATCTTGATCCTACTGTGGAAAACTTTGAGAATATTTTAATGAAAGCTCAGTTGAACCCTGAGGTGAAATTGATACCAACTACTGGTGCATTATCTGATGATATTAACCAACCGCTTACAATACAGACTATGTTTCACAATCGGGCAGTGTCACCGGCACCGAGTGAAAGTACAGATACTGCATCTGAGATGGGAAGTGCATTCAACTCCCCACTTAGATCGAATGCATCTTCTAGACAGAACAGTCCCAGCCACAAAATAGCCAGGTTTCGTGAGTGGAAACAGAGTCTGATATCCAAGCTGGAATTGGTCGATCAAGAAAATAAAGGATCAACAGAAAATACGAATACTGATTTAACAGAAGAATCAACTGAGTCCCCGTCAACTGCCGAAAGCCCTGAGCGTGAATTTCTACCAATACCCGAAGACGATGAACAATCAGAAAGTCAAGATAAAACAGAAATGCCTATTACTGAGGAAACGATTGCCCCTCCACAGGAGCAATCTGGTTCTTCTTCGAATTTGAAACGTTTGTCTGATTCCCATGAGAATGAGCCCGAGGTGAAGCGCAGCGTAACTTTTGCTGACAACGTAGGGGGTTCTGACTCTGAACCATATGAGTATGCTTCTCCATGCGAGGAAAGTAAAGACAGTTCTGATATGTCATCAGAGGAAGAACAAAACCAGGTGGATAAGCTTGCATCTCCATGTACATTGCATCCTAAGGTAAGCAAAAACTGACTACTGTCTTTTGCCTTTATGTTTCATTAGTGTGATGGTTGTGAGTGTATATTCTGTATTTTAATTTGACTGTTTTGTGGATGTGGATTCATAAAATATTGCAAAAAAGTTTTGCATCTGAACACGTTACAGAGCAACAATGTATAAAAAGAAAGTGAAACTGATTTTATCGTGTTTTTGCAGGTTGCTGTAGCTGTATTGAAAAGTCTTGATGCTGAGATAATGGTGTGTGAGCAGAGATTAGGTGATGAGACGGAAAAGAGAAAGAAATATCGAGTAAGTACTAACATGTACATGTATCTCATGATATCTAAAAGGCCATTAAAGCCACATAATCTTAGATAATATCTGACATATGTTTGTAGATGGCAGAATTTACTTTCTAAGGTGATCCCACACTTACCCTATCATTTACCTAAATCAAATCAAATCAGAAGAATACTCTGCCAATACATACTATTTTGAAAAGATTTTGATACCAAATAAAACTCTCCTAATCACTTTGTGTTAATATGTTTCGGGAGAATCATTTTTAGCTTCCGGGTAATGCCTGAAATTGTAACTTGTACTGGTGTTTGAAAGTATTGAGTAAACATGTGCAGGGGCAAAAACTCTACCTGCCACTTTGAAGCCAACCTTTCATTTCAAATTTACTGCTACAATCACCTTCAGTATATAAATAAGAAAGTCTATTAAAAAAGCATGAACTTTGATTTTCCCCATTTTTTTTCTTCATATTTTTACTGTAAAATACTTTATTTTAGCTGAAATTGATGTTCACTGAAAAGACATTTTGGCCTGTTTTGTATAAGGTTTCTTTTCATTTATTTTTGATGAGTTGAATGTAAAATTTAGGAAACAGGGTATTTTCACTGGAAAATATTTTCTCTGATAATCTATTCAAATAATAATCTAGTGAAAATTAAGTACTTTACAGTACCGGTAATATAGAGCAAAAATGACCTGTATGAAAAATGTGTTATGAAAGGAATATGTGATAGGGTGTACAGGCTGTACAGACTGTGTATATGCAATTAAAGCGGGGGAGTCGTCACCTGTGCATGCGTCAGATGGCCATAGCATGTCATTGTTTACAAACAAGCATCTACCCATGAGCCTTTGCGTTTTTAGTGTGTGTTGTTATCGTCGCTTGGGACTCAATTCCTGCACAGATGACAACCCTCCCACTTAAGCTGAAATTTAGCATAGAACAACAATTCATTTTCTAATTTTTTGCATGCTATATCATATTACATGTTATTGACTCCCATGTGCGAAGCACAAAATGGGAGTCTTTGCAGTTAGTGTGTCTGTATGTATGTATGTGTGTGTGTGTGTGTGTGTGTGTGTGTATGTGTGTCCGACTGTTCCACTGCTATCTCAAGAACCATACATCGGTTTTTGATGAAACTTGGTGCATAGATGCTCTGGGCCAATGCGCAGATTTGATTAGGTTTTGGTAAAAATCCATGCTCGTTAATTACCTAATTTGCATGATAATTAGCTAAATTTTAGCTGTTCTATGACTGTTCCACTGATATCTAAAGAACCACTCATTGGATTTTGATGAAACTTGCTACATAGATGCTCTGAACATATGCACAGATTTGATTAGTTTTTGGTAAAAATCCGTGCATATTAATTACCTAATTTGCATGATAATTAGCTATTTTTTAGTGGTTCCATGACTGTTCCACTGATATCTAAACAACCACTCATTGGATTTTAATGAAACTTGTACATAGGTGCTCTGA